ACAGGCTTTTTTTTGTATAACTTTGGAGCCTATCCTGGCACTCACTCTGGAGACCAGGCTGGCCTTGAACTCACAGAGATCTGCCTGCCTCTGCCTCCCGAGTGCTGGGATTAAAAGCGTGCGCCACCAACGCCTGGCCCAATAAGTCTCCTTAAGCATAAGGGAATTTCTGGAACTAATTAGACTGACTTTGCCGCCAAACCAGAGCCAGCAAGGAAGAGAAACAAGCTCTTCCACTTAGGGCTTTTGCAGCTTTCCTTCCTGGCCTGGGGCTTGCTTGAAGTGATTCATCTAGAGGAATACAGTCATAGCATGAAGGGCATCCTTGATGTGCTCGAAGATGCCACTTCTTACAATGTCAGGGAAGGTGTCTGAGGGCGGAAGGAAGACTGCTCCACTCCTTAAGCTGGCATTCACGGAGCATCAGCCATCGCTGGCAGCCAAATGCCGAGCACAGTCTAACCAGCAGGGATTCTCGATGACCCATCTCATCTCCTGGTGCAAGGAGAGGAGAGACATATCCGATAGAAGCTTCCGTGGGGAAAGTGTTACTACACCAGATGATCTACTGGGTACTTTTTCTTCTGGCACTTGGAGCAAAAAGTCCAAGAGACAATGTTAGAAATTGTGCACGAGTCCCAGGTATGGAGGCAGCTTATTTTCAGCCTAAATTCAGAAGTCTTTTTTAACCTGAGATGGATTGTTTTATAGGAGGCAAATGCTAGTGTGTGTGTGTGTGTGTGTGTGTGTGTGTGTGTGTGTGTGTTGTGTGTGTGTGTTCAAGCATGTGTTTTCTCTCCTGTTGTTTTAGAGCAGCTGCCACTTCCCTATTCCTTTCGTACTACATGAACCCCAGGCAGGTCTCCAACTCCCACCAGTTTCCTTCCCTGCCTCATCTCCTGAGGTTGCAATTACAGGTGTAAGTCACCACCCTAGGAGGTCTTAATTTTTTTTTTGACCTCGAATTCAAGAAAATATGAATTCTTTCCAAGTTTCAATATTTGTTGATTTTATAAGAAATATTATGAGGTTTAAAATAATTTTTTAAATTATGCTTTTTCCTCTCCCGGTTGTCCCCACTTCTCTGTGATGGAGAGTGAGGATGCCAGAGAATCTCTTTCCTGTGTGATATCAGGAGAGGTGTTACCATCTTGTGGGGCCATCCCAGAGTGGATGTGTGGGTTTGGTTTAGGCTAGCCACCTTCCTTGGGTCCTCTTTGCATTTCTCCATCTTGGGCTAAAGCACAGAGCAGCAATGGAAGTCTCAAAAAAAGGACTTTAACGAGGATTAGGATGTCACTACAAAACCAACTGTCCCTTCTCTCGGTGGGCTGCAGCATAGAGTAGGAGAGTTTCCACTGACTGTGGCTTCAGCTGGAAGCCTGCTTACCGCCCCTCCTGTCACTCCATTTCGTGTAGATCTGAAGTCTGTAGAGAGGGACAGTGACCAGAGCTCCAAGCAGGTGCCTTGACTGATGAAGAAACGTTGTATCTGTTACCTTTCTCAGCTGCACCGCCACCCACCTGCAAGCTGTCCATGCCCCTCCCTGTATTGAACCCTCCACGAGCTAGCTCATGGTAGCAATCCTAATTAAACCTGTTATCTCATATACAAACAAAAGACAGGAAAGTAGAAGGGGCAGTTAGAAAGGGGATCAGCAAGAGTGGGAGGGGCAAGTGGGGATGAGGAATGCATATGATGAAATTATACATGAAGGGGCAGTTAGAAAGGGGATCAGCAAGAGTGGGAGGGGCAAGTGGGGGTGAGGAATGCATATGATGAAATTATACATCATATATGTATATGTATATGATGTATACATTTATGATGAAACCCATTATTATGCATGACTAATATTTGCTAGTAGGAGCTTATAAAACCCCTCCGGTTTTACAACTGATTTGGAACATGGAAGACTGTAACTCTTTGCTACTTTTGCACAGGAAGCACCACCTGTGAGGTCGATTCCTCTGTGCTCTGCATTTTGATAATCTCGTAAAACTAGTGTATAAAGTAGTAT